GCTTGAGATGCACCTTTGGATGCATGACAAGGTAGGGCTGGCCTTGCTGGCTGCGGTCTGGCATTGGCGGCTTAATAATGACTCCAAGATCCCTTTCTGCCTCTGTGCTTTCAAGAGGGGAACTTCCCAGCCTGTATGTATGCTGTGGATTCCTTCTCCCAAGGTGCAGCACCCTGCATTTATCTACATTGAACCTCATCCTATTCTCATCTGCCCACTTCTGTAGTCTGTCTAAATCTAGTTGCAGCCTCTCTCTCCCTTCAAGTGTGCCCACCTCGCCACACATCTTAGTGTCATCAGCAGACTTGGACAAGGTGCTTTCAACCCCCTCGTCCAAGTCGCTGATGAAGATGTTAAACAGTACAGTCCCAAGGACTGAGCTCTGGGGGACCCCACTGCTCACATCTTGCCAGATTGTGTACGACCTGTCCACCACTACTCTCTGGGTGCACCCCATCAGCCAGTTTTTTACCCATCCAACTGTGTAGGCATGAATGCCACAGTCACTTAATTTATTAATGAGAATGGGGTGAGAGACATTTTTTCCCTTGTGTCTGTTCATGTGCTTAAGATATTCTTCAAAGTGCTCTGAAATGCAGCTGTAATGTTTGTAAAGGAAACTGGTAATGGAAGGGCTGATTGGACTCTACCTTACACATCATGGTCATGCAATGCAGTCTCTCTAGATCCCATCTATAGCTTCTTAAAGTTCAGATGGTGTAGAACACAGTGGTGCTCCTGCTAAGATGACCACAGCGTGTACTTGGGCTTCTGCCTGACAGTCTTGGGGTTGAACTCGTACACATTCTACTGCAAATTTCACTTACAAATATTGGCCTATTGTTTCTCAGCAATATCCTGTCATACTGCAGGGCCATCCAGAGCCTGTGCTGTTTTAAGTTATGCAATAATTTGTATATAAATAAATGTTCTTATTTGAAATAAACAAGGTTGTTTGCAGAATTTGGCTTTGGGAATCTCTCATTTTAACTTCATTTGTTGGTTGGTTACCTGGCAAGTAGGTACATTTTAATTGCATTTTGCTGAATCCAACCTGACTAACCTTTCTGGTCCTACTGCTGTTTTCTACACCATAAAACTCAGTAGCTTGCCTTTTGCTTTAATTATGAACCTACACATCTTGTTTACTGGATGCCTTCATTCTTTTACACAAAATGTTGTTTTAATTCAGGGAAGGTGATATTCTTTTCTAATAATTTAAAGTTACTTTCAGGAATTGATTGTCTGTGGCTCCACTGAACTTTACTACATTATACTGTTATCGGGGTGAATTTGTTTAAATCACCAATTATAATCATGGTTTGAATCAGCAAGTAGGAAACCTGGGTTTAAATCATCATTTTAATTTTATTTTGCATTTATACATTTTTGTTTATTGTTAGATTACTATTTTTTTAATCTTTTAGTCTTCCTAAAAAGGGGGCTAATTCTGATTGGTTGGTATCATCATCAGAATATCTTGATTTCTTTAAAATCAAATATAGCTTTTTTAAATAAATGTACTAAATTGTGATTAAATGATTACATGCTGTGGATTTAATTTAAACCCCTTACATGAAAACAGTAATAAATCTAAAGATCCTTTCCCATGTGTTTTAGTGTGTGTGCTTGATCAGTGTTTTTCACATAATGCGTAAATGAAGCATAAACCAATTTGCAGTGCATAAGACCTGAGTATAAAACTTTTCCTATTCCTTCTGTGATCACAGTCTTGGAAATGAAAAAGTCATTCTGAATGCACCTTTGATAACAGGCACATTTGGAGGTCCCCTAGAATATGCAGATATAAAAATGACACATTAAAAATCTTAGCAGGACTAGCAGTACGGATAGGATAAGATGTATGCCTAAGGAGGTTTTTTCCTTAATCCTGAGCCAAGCAGTAGTCAAAGGTATTTCCCTTACCCAGAGAAGAACAGTATCTTTCCTTTCCTTCTCTTTTATGAATATAAACTAATATTATATTGGGACTGTGAAAAATAGGACAATGGAACAAGCTGCCAAGGGAAGTTGTGTGATCTCCTTCATCAGACATACAAAATACTAGAACTCTTGGTTCCAAAATGATACCTTTTATTAGACCAACTGGAAAATGGCAAGAAAATGGTCCTTTTCTGCAAGCTTTCAGGAGCAAAGTCCCTTCATCAGGCTCTGGGAAAAGTGTAGATGGTACAAGATGGTAAAAAGTCCCTATAGGTAGGAAATAAACTTCATTTTTGTACAGAGGGAGCTGAAGATGCAAGTCTGTCCCTCTGGGTCCATGAGTGTTTTTGTGAGCTGTTGAGTAGCTCTTTGATGTGTTGATCAGGTAGAATTCCTTCCCTGGAGGTGTCAGATGGCTGGCAGGGAGGCAAAAAAAACTTCCTTGTTCTGTAGTGAGTTTAAAATCCAAAATCAGCTAAAATTCCTTCATCAGATTTTTTTAATACCCTGGATAGGAATTTCTGGAAGCATTTAAGAATAGTGAAACCTGCATTTGTATAGAAGTTGGATTAAAAGATCCCCGAGATGCTCTTCAGCCCTATAACTCATTGTATTACCGTATGTGGTTGTGAAAAAGTAAGAAAATGTATTTAAGTGCAAGTAACAAAGAATAACCATCTGCATCTGTATGATCAGTAAATGCCGTGTGTTCTCAGCATACCTGTAACATGTTTTAGTCTCACACTTTCATCTTTCTGCTTTCTACAAACTATTAAATAATATAAAACACACAAATAACTGAGCTATTTAATCAGAACAAATGATTCTGAGCATACATCTCAGCTTGTATCCTAAACCTAATGTTATAAACCTAAGTTTATTTCATTTTAAAGGGGAAAATGTTGCTCTTTGACATGTATATCATTTGGAGTCTGAACATGAACCTAATGGATCATAATAGTTTATGAGTGCCATGCACATCTTATTTTATATGTTGAAAACAAAACAAAGCAAACAGGGAGAAGAAAAATACAGGAACCAATTAGTTTTGGAACAAGTATTATCTTGCTTTCCCATGTCAGACTTTTACTGGCTCTACTGAAATAATTAAAGTATCAAAATTTATCCCTGATTTAGTGTCAGTTAGTCTGCTTGAAATTAAATTTGTTTAGCCATTATGATTAAAATATGGCTGTGTTTTGTCATGTTAGAAAGCCTAACAAACTCTCTATCAAAATCTTTATGCTTTTTTTTCCATCCTACTCTTTATTTATGGGAGGATCTCAAAAATCTTTCAAATCTCTCACTTTTGAAATGTTGCCTACTTAAAAATGTCACACTCAAATTTTTGCATATAGATCCTTTTTTACTGTTTCTCCAGATCTCTAGAGAAAGCTTTGGCAGCTAAAAATAGCTGTATTTTCTTTAACTGTAGGAAATATTGTGGTCAGACATGAAATTGACAAATTATCCAGAGATGCTCACTTGAGGTAGAAGCTCAGCTTCATAAAAATATATATAAAATATATCATAAAATATATATATTTTACAAGAGGCAAAGACTTTTTTGGGTGATTATCTTCTACTGGACCAACTGCTTTTTTTTTTTTTGAGTACCCCAATTCATGGATCCACTTCCCATCCCCATACAAACAGGATTTCTAGTGAAATGTTGAATGCATGGAATCTTGAGGCAGCCTGGGGAGCCAGTGTTATAAAACAATACATTTTGTGAAAAAAATGGAATCTTAGATTAGGTTCTCAAAATGAAGGACATTAATGTCAGTACCTCTGTAACATTCCCTTACCTCACAGAAGCGTAATGGACATTAAAGCTAAGTAAGTCTGTCAAAAACCCGAGGCTGAATAGATTCAATCTTTGCAGGTTAGTCTAAGCTATGTACTGATTGAACCAATAAGCAAGTGAACAGACATTCACTTCTGATTCTGGAACTGCAGCCACATGCCTGGAGTGGCCCATGTCAGAAGCCAGAAGTACTAGAGCATGCCTCTCTGCTCAGCTAAAGCAGACAGCTTGGGCCAAGGCTAGCCTGTCCACCCTACAAGGTGGGCTTTGCAGGGGAAGTGCATATCATCCTGGGATGCTGGGGGACTATGAGTTAACTTGAATCTTGAGGGGACAAAAGTTCAATAAGCTGATTTAACCTCAATCAGCTAAGTGTAATACTACACCCATCCAGGTTTATTTTAAACTAGTTTTGGTTATTTTGAAAGTAGTTTATATGAAAGTGCCCTGAACTTCTGTTGTGTTACAGATTTGAACCAGTTTCCGATCATTTATACCAGTTTGTGTGTAATTTCTGCCCCTAGCCTAATTCATTTGTGCTTGTGAAGCATTCTGCTGCTTCAGTGATGAGAACCATAGTAAAGCTCCTGTGCGGGTTAACAGTACCAGGCATTTTATATATAGATAACAATATTTCCATGCCCCTTGTTTTTTAAATACCCACCTTGAATTGGGAGAAGAATGATAGTGCAAAGATTTGCTTTTTGATGAAAGAAAAAGAGGATGGACTTATTTTGTGCCTTTTTTATCTCGCTTTTGTGTGGGCATGTGCTGCTATGGTGCCATTGTTACTGCGCCATCGTTTAGTACTTCCTTCTGGAAGTACTAAAAGACGGTGCAGTAACAATCTTTACTGTGCCATGCATGCCACATATGGTTATTTTTAGGCACTACATCGTTGCAGTAGTAGTTGTGCTATAATGGAGGAGCACATCACTATGGTAACATGGCTGCGCTGTTACGGGTTTTGCCTGCAGACACTATGTTGACATAGCGCATTGCTACGGCAATGTAGCATCATGTATAGATATGTCTTGTATAGATATGTTGCTTTTAGGCCCTGATCCTCAAATATTTAGAAACCATCAGGAGTCGGGTCCAACTCCTCAAAATGTTTAGTATCTAAGTCCCTAATCGTATCTATTAAGTACAGAACAGCCAGGCAGCATTTTGAGTATATACCTATAGAAAGTATTTTAATCATAGTGATCCTTTTTACTCTAGCCATTTCACTTTGTCCTTTATCTAGGAGACACTACTGTTCGATGTGAGCAACTGGATCTGCTTCAAGATTGGCTGGCTGACTTCCGAAAATCTACCTCCTCCTCCAGCACAGCCAATCCAGAGGAGCTGGTAGCTTTTGATGTGATCTGTGGGGATCTGAACTTTGACAACTGTTCATCTGGTGAGACAAGCTTTTTACATATTCCTCTTGCAAATGTAGCATTACAGTGAGGTATTGACATTTCCAAATATTTTCCTTTACTTCTTTATGGCAGCATGATGCAATTATGCAAGGATTTTGCAACCACATTCACATAAGAATACAATGCTATAAAAATCTTTAAAATGGGAGTACTTTTGTGAAGCTGGACTAGGTTAACCCAATATTGCCTAGTTATTAAACAGAGGAGAGATTTCTCTAAGGCACAGAGCAGTATTTCCCATTGTACCTTAAATCTCCCTTTCAGTCTAGAACAAGCTGGTTAAATCTCCCTCTCTCTAGAACAAGCTGACAGGTGGGCCTCTATCTGCTCTCCATTTTACTGTCACTGTAGTATCTTTGCTCCCTTTGCTTCCAGGGCCTAATCTATATCAAAGGTAGAAATTACAGGGTTCCTTCTTTAAAAAATGTATGGGATAATGTGCAAAGCACAGAGGTTAGGTATCTGTTCACTTGCCACTCCCTGCCCCTGTCTATACAAGATGCTATATGACTACTGCACAGTCATGTGGCGTGGCAGCAACCATGATGTAATACTACTGCACAGTAGTCATGGGCTACTGCGCAGTCAGTATCATGAAAAAGGTGTTGAGTTACTTTACAGTCATTTACTACTTGTTCATACAAGTACTAAATGACTGTGTGGTAATGACTGCACAGTCAGCATCTTATGTAGACACAGTCCCTGACAACGTCATAGATTTCATAGATGTTAGGGCTGGAAGGGACCTCAAAGATCATCAAGTCCAGCCCCCTGCCCTGGGGGCAGGAAGTCAGCTGGGGTCAAAGGATCCCAGCAAGATAAGCATCCAAGCGCTTCTTGAATGAGTCCAGAGTAGGTGCCTGCACCACTTCTGGAGGGAGTCTATTCCAATGACAGACAGTACATGACAATTTAAACTACTGCATCCAGATTGGGATCTAAAATTTAGAATTATTAGGATTAAGAGGCACAGGTCAGTTACACTGGACTAGTTTAGATACTGTGGTGTTCACTAGAAGGTCATCACTGCCGATGTGGCTAAGTGTGCCAGCTTTGTCAAAGAAAAAATATACTTCCTTCTAAGTCCAAAACAACTAGTATCCTCCTATGTTTTGTGAATGGGTTTTCATTTGAGACTGTTGATGAGAGGAAGTAATCTCATCAGCAGTGAAAGGTGAATTGATAGGGTTGGACAGATGCTTGGTCAAATGAAAAATTAAAAACATTTACCACCACTACATTACTTGGTCTTATCTCATTATGTTTATGTATTCCAAGACTTGACAGCCAGAATTCATATGGGATGGATAACTTTCTATACTTAGATTTGGATCAGATATTTGTGGTCAATTTAGTTGTTATTGTATATCCAATCCCAACTGAGTTCAAGCAAAGAAGTATTTATGACAGGCACATGTGAGCTGGCAGGCATGCTATAACTCTCAGGCTTCTGGAATTATTAATTTAGTGCTCCAAAAATGAAAGAATAAGATTTACTAACCAGAGCGTTTACTATCAAAATAGAAATTTTGAGTTAACACAGGAAGACTGCTAGCCTTTGAAATGAAATGAGTTATTTGTGGTCAGCTGGTGAGACCCCATTGGAAATGAGACACTTGGAAAAAGGCTTGGTCTGAAACAGTTGATGATTCAGCAATGAGGAGGAAGCTCCAGGTCTAAGGACAGACATTCAAAAAGTCTGAGCCTGAATTGATTCAATCTTTGCAGGTTAGTGTAACCTAACTAGGCCAAATCAGTTTGTAAGTGTACAGACATCCCAGACATGCAGGCACATGCATGGGGGTGCTACAGCAGCACTCCCTTCCCTTGCACAGTATTGAGCTGAGGGGGTCATGGCCAGGCCCCAGCAGGACACTCTGATTAGCCCAGCAGGGAATTGATAACAGTGTTTATCCCCCCTAACTCAGTGTTTATCACCACATTAAGAAAACAACAGAGGGACATTACTAGCTACCTGTCCATTCTTCTTGTGTCCTGTCTGCCACAGCATGAACTGTAGCCAGCATGTGGTCTGCTAGCTAATAAATAGACACCTCTCAGCAAGGCAGAGGGGAGTGGGGAAATCCTGCTTAGCAGGGAGTGGTGAAGGGGGCGGGGGGAGCAGCCTGCAGTCTCTGCCAACCTCCAGCAAGGGAGCAGAGGGGAGGGGCCAACTCTGCTGTGGAGCAGAGAGCCCCACCCAGCCCAGAGAGCATGCCAGGATGCTGGGGGTGTCTGGTTTAACTTAAACCAGCAAGGGGTCTGGAGACAGACATTGCATAAACCAGTTTGACCCAGATCAGTTAAGCCTGATACTACATTCAACCAGGTTTCTAAAACTGGTTTCAGCCATTTTGAAACTGGTTTATGTGTACTGAACATCTGTTCTGTAACAGGTTTAAACCAGTTTCTGATTACTTAAACCAGTTTGTGTGTAATGTCTATCCGTAACCCAGGTGTTCAGAATGCAACTTATGAATAAAGGATGAAAAGGATGACCGCCTGCTAATGACCATGTTCTTCAAACTGGTAAAGGATAACGTATCAAGAGGAAGTTGTTAGGCAATGGAGAATTATACTATAGAGATTTGAAGACAAATAATAAGAGATAATAAGATACCATAGTGGAGAGTTAAAAGTACTACACGTGAATATTTAGTAGGATCACCAGTGGAACAAAGGAAGGAAGGAACCTTTGGTATTATGATAACTTATGAAATCCATAACTTTTTGCCTTTTATGCACTTCCTTGGCTTGAAAATTGAAATTCAACTGGCTGCTTTCACTTCCTTTTTATAGTCAGCTTCACATGTGTGTTTCATGCAGTAAACTAGAGCTATGCTACAGTGTTTGTACTTACAGCTCTGACCTTTTAAAATTAAACATTCCCTTACAAATATCTTGGTTAAGTTTTACATGTTTTTAAAGATATCCTACATTTTAAGTCTACAATATGAAATCTTGATATTTACTAATTTTGTATTGTAAAGATTCTGGAAGGTTTTGTTACAGAATTATAAAACTGAATGTTTTGAGAGTTACCAACTTTTTACAAATTGTAATATAGAAGAAGTTTTGTTTGCTTGCTACAGTGAATATTCAGTTCTTAACCTCTGTTAAAAATCATACCATTAGTCCAGCTATGATGTGCACATTTGTGAGTCATTATATGCTTTGGGTCATTTCCAGCAGGTTGGTCATCCCTCAGCACTAGAGAGTTATCATACTTCTAACATCAATACAGTGAATTCTCACTTATCAAGAATTTACTATAAGGCTATCTTTTAATGTCAGGCTGTTGTAGGCCGAGTCCCTTAGAAATCTATTATATTTTAGAATCTCTTACTATCAGATGCAAAGCTTTCCAATGAGAGGGGCTAGGGCAGGGGCCATATCCATCCTGCCAACTTATCCTATCTGGCCTGCCAGCTGCTGCCAGGAGTCTGAGGCGGCAGGGCTGAGCCCCACACCACTCTGCTCTGCCACATCCATAAACAGCTCATCAAAACTCATTTAGTGGCCCTTCAACCCAAATAATTGTCCACTAGGGCTGTGCAAAACACCATCATTTCATTTCAACATCTATTTCACCATTTCAAATGGACACTGTTTCATTTCAGCATTTTGTTTAATTTCAAAGCACTATCCCATTTCATTTCATCGAAACTGTTGCGCTGTTTTGACATTTTGCCCATAGGCTATAATGGGGAATCATAAAAATGCCTAAAATGTTGTCATTTGTTGCCTGATTGGGATTCAAATTGCAGGGATGGTAACCCCTTCTGAGGGCATGAAGCCTGCCAAGCTTCAAGGAGATAGGTGCAGGGGTTTCTTGGAGACTGCACCTCAAAATCTTGCAAGCAAAAGTCGCGACACTTCCCAACAGCAGCAGCCTCCTGTCATCCAGCACACAGATCCAGGGGCTCACACCCCCCAGGAGGGCTGCAGGGCTGTGTCAGACTCCTCCAGGGGTGCAGGCCCCTGGATCTGCACCAGATGACAAAAGGCTGCCACTACTGCCTTAGACCGGTGCTGGGCGCAACCTGCAACCAGCGCTGGGGAAGACTGATGCTGCTGCTGGCCCCAGGCAGCAGTGGCATCCTCCTATCATCTGGATGCAAATCCAGGGGCCTACACCCCCAGGAAGGCTGCGGGGCTGTGCCGGACTCCTCCCAGGGATGCAGACCCCCAGATCTGCACTGGATGACAGAAGGCTGCCACTGCTGCCTGGGACCAGTGCTGGGCACAGCCCGCACACATTGCTGGGCTCCATGGAACTCAGTCTGCGGGCAGGAGGTGGAGCACGGCCATGGCTTTGCCCGCCTCCCACCGCTGGGCTCCACTCCAAGCGGCTCCACAGCCCCATGGAGCTCAGCCCAGTGGCGGGAGGCAAAGCACAGCCCCAGCTCTCCCTGCCACCCACCGCTGGGCTACACTCCATGGGGCTGGCAGAGCCAATCAGAGCACAGCCCTGGCTTTGCCCACCTCCCGCCAGCAACCCCATGGAGCGCAGCCTGGCAGCAGGAGGCAGGGAGTCACGGCTGTGCTCCACCTCCCACCGCTGGGCTGAGCCCCATGGGGCTGCAGAGCCACTCAAAACACAGCCCAGTGGTGGGAGGCAGGCAGAGCCGGGGCTGTGCTCCACCTCCCGCTGCCAAGCTGAGCTCTATGGGGCTGGTGGAGCCAATTAGAGCACAGCCTGGCAGCAGGAGGTGGGCAGAGCCAGGGCTGCGCTCCAATCGGCTTCGCCCGCCCCGTGGAGCACAGCCCGGCAGCAGGAGGCAGGCAGAGCTGGGGCTGCATTCTGCCTCCTGCTGCCAGGCTGAGCTCCATGTGGCTGGCAAAGCCAATTGGAGTACAGTTCAATGGCAAGAGGTGGGCAGAGCTGGGACTACAATCTGATTAGCTCCGCCAGCCCCACGGAGCGCAGCTCAGCAGTGGGAGGCGGGGAGAGCTGGGGCTGCACTCCCTGCCGGGCTGGGCTGGGCTGTATGGGGCTGCAGAGCCACTCAGAGCACAGCCCTGGCTCTCTCCTGAGTCCCACCACCGGGCTGCTTCAAAACTCGAAATGTTTAGAAACTTTCAATACATTTTGAGTGCGCTCATTTCGTTTCAAAGCTGTTTCAATGCTTTTTGTTTCATTTTGATTTCGATGTTTTGAGTTCAAAACATGTCGAAACAGCTTCGAAATGAAACGCTTGGCAAAATTTCACACAGCCCTATTGTTCACCCCTGGGCTAGGCTTTATCCATCAGCCATGACTTGTAACTCCTGTTACATGGCAGTGAATCAACTAACCTAGGATTTTATTCTGTTCTGTGGTTTTTCAGATGAAGGTTTGTATGTATATAAAACCCTAAGCAAGCAAAATCTGGTACTTAGGTATAAACATCTGAACAAATCAATAGTCTTTTCAGACAGGAGGAGGAAAAATCTAGAATCTCAATAATAAGGCAAGTGAGGTGATATGAATACAGTACCTGAAGGACAGACATCAGTTTATAGCTGTACAATAATCCACACAGCAGAACCCAGGAATGGGATCTTTAGTTCTGTAGCAAAAGATACAAATGATACAATCACGTATAGCTATCTTGCTCACATATACCTTACAGCTGTCTTGAGAGCGATGGACAGTTGATGCTAATGTGCTTCCAGACTGACATTTGTATTTTTCCCTGCCTCTAACCCCTTTTAGTTGGAATTAGGGCTGGGACAAAGGGTAAATCTTAGATGTTGATGGTTAAACTCTAGTTAGATTTCATATGGGATAATTTCCTGCTATGACTTAATTTGCTACCAGTCCCATGTCACTCCTGTTATTCTACTGCCATTTAACAATTCCTGATAATAGAAGCCTGCCTTTTGCAAACTTGGTAAAAATGGAATTGATCCCCTGTAGAAGAAGACTTGATGCTGAACGGCATCCTGCATGTGTGATGTGTTGAGCTCAACCTTAAAGAGTTTTTATTTCTGACTTAGAAAGAGACCATTTTTGTGGATATCGTTGCCTTGACAATAGACAAAGCACAGGAACTTGTGAATGTTCCAGGGTTCCCTATATGGAATTTGAAAAGTTCATAACAAATTCTAAAGTTTTAAAAGGTGGAAGTACTATAAAGAGAAAAATTAATGAGGCATAGCCATTATGAAGGTTTAAAAAGTGTATTGGATTTACAATAGTGCTGATATTTTCAGTGTAAGTGTCTGATCCTGTAACCACTCTTGAGGGCAGTGGTCACTACCAGAAATAGTAGATTCTGAATTAGAACTCACCTAAACTGCTTGCCTAAAGCACTAATTTGTTTCTTTATACTATGGTTTGTTGCTATTTTAAATAGTTCTGCTGGTATATATTTGCCATTGGGCTCAAAATGCATGGAGAATAGTTGGTAACAATTAGGCAGAAATTAAGTTGACAACACAGGTGGCATATCTGAATGTGTTTTGGAATACTTCAGTACTCTAATTACCACCAATAACAATAAAATACTATTTATCTCTTTCACTCAATTATTATGTAATATGCTTAGTAAATTCTATATCTTGTGAAACAACTGAAGCACAAATTTATATCCTCAGTGGACTTATTGCAAATAATTATGTACATACAAACCTCACCATAAGTATTGCCATTATAAAGTTAATTGGTCTCTGTGACAAAGTGGTCTGTCCCCTTAAGAAGGGACAGCCAGCCCTGTTAAGGATGGTCAGCTGTGGGGCATTCTGATAATGAGGGAATGTCCCACTGGGAGCTTTAAAAGCTCTCAAGAAAGAGAGCAGAGGAGGAAAGCCAATTTGAAAAGTGGCTCTTCTCCTAGTGTCTGGAGAAGACAGAATTTTGGTTTGTTTTGTTGTACATTGACACTTGTGTTGTAGAAAATAACACTACCTGAGAAATTAATGAAGGTGCTAACTCTCCTTCAGTAGGCAGCAGAATAAGTGACCTATTTTCATTCTCTTTCTCACTGCCTAAAATATACCCTCTGTATAATGGTGTAAAAATACTACAAATAGTGGTGGCAATTCAGGCCTATTGAGGCTAAGAGGATATTATTCACTTTTATTTATAAAACCACCAGAAGACACCAGTGAGATCAGTTCTCTGTTGTACTGGGTGTTATACAAATGCATAGTAAAAGTCAGGGTTAGATTTTAAAAAAAGATATATTTAGGTACTAAGAAGGCAGGAAAGCCTAGTAGGATTTTCAAAAGTGCATAGCTCCTAACTTTCAGTAAGTACTTCTGTATCTACTCTACTCCCTGCTTCAAAGGCATTTGGATCCAAATTAAGACAAGGTCCAATAAGTAAGCATAAAAACAAAGTAAGTGGAGGTAGTTGGAGATGCCAAAAGTAACAGTGACAGAAAAATGGAGTGTGTACGTTTCCATTTATCACAATATATTACTTTAAGGATTTTAAACATCTAATCAATGTTAACTCTAAGAACAGTTCCAGCTGATATAGGATCTTTCACCTTTTAGTAACTAGCACAATTCTAGACTGTGTCATTGTTGCTCTAGACTTCTTGTTTCTTGTCTGTACAGTGAGCCAGATGAAATGAATGGAGGTTCAGTAACTGAATACTCCCCACCACCACAGCTGGAAAGGCCTGCTGTGTTGCTTGGCAGTCTGATAGAGGCTAAACATTGAATGGTCTAAACACTTGTCCTGCCAAGCCAGGATTGATGCAAATTAACCAGGCAGTGTGAGACTCCTACTGTACCATTTCAAAGGATCTGACCTGCTTTGAAAACAAAGGGGGCATTAACTTACTACTATGCGCAGTAGTAAACTACAACTGATTCAAAAAGGGGGGCATTTAAGAAAACCTCTAGTCAAAATGAACTCCTCTAGTTCATTCCTTGTTGACAAGAATTTTTTAGCTTAAATGTTTTTTGTCATAAAATAGCAATTGCTTGAAATGAAAAGTTCACACAAGAGCATGCCAGTTTCGACAGATCATCTGTCAGCCACAACACAGGGGGTTCTGCTTTTTCTTTTAATGAACTACAGATTGTTACTAATATCTTAAAAACAAAATTAGTATCAGAATCCCCATTAAATTAGTGCTGCTGGAGGCATGGCCAGAAAAGCTGCTACAGAGTGACAGGAGGAACTCCTAATATTAAATGCACCACTAGACTGGAGAGTTAAACTTGCCTTTTACATGGCAGCAATATATACTAGTGTTTCTACTGTGACTACAGACTTTGTAATAGATTTGTCTTTCTTTGAATTTGTTCTTTCCTTGCAGAGGACAAGTTGGAGCAGCAGCATTCCCTGTTTACACGGTACAAGGACCCATGCAGACTTGGTCCTGGGGAGGAAAAACCATGGGCAATTGGTAAGGCTTTTGTCCTATCAGTGGCGAACCTATTTTAACCTTCATTGCAATGCAGCACCAGTGTTTGGTAGCATGTGGCACATCAAATAATTTAGTAGCAATTAAATTATGTACAAGCTGCAGTTTTCAGTTACTATCTCCAACAACAATGTATATATTTTCATAGATTCATAAATTGTAAGGCCAGAAGGGATCTCAGAAGATCATCGGGTCCAGCCCCATGTACCAAGCAGGAAAGATAACTGGGAGTCAGGTGACCCCAGCAAGGTGACTGTCTAGTCTCCTCTTGAAGATTTCCAGGGTAGGTGATTGCACCACCTCTGGAGGGAGCTTATTTCAGTCTGGACACCCTGACTGTGAAGAAGTTTTTGCTAATGTTGAGCCTGAATCAATCTTCGAGGAGTTTGTGCCCATTACTCCTGGTTTTCCACTTGGGTGCCCTGGTGAACAGTTGCTCTCTGAGCCCTTGATGTACTCCCCTAGTGTAGTGGTAAGTTGCTTCCAGGTCCCCTCTCAGCCCTCTTTTCCTCAGGCTGGAGAGTCCCAGATCCCTCAGCCTTTCCTTGTATGGCTTGCCTTTTAAGGCACTGATGATATGGATGGCTCCTCTTTGGACTCTCTCAAGCTTGTCCATGTCCTTGTTAAAGTGTGGTGCCCAGAACTGCATGCAGTATTCCAGCTACAGTCTCACCAATACTGAGTACAGTGGAAGAATCACCTCCTTGGTTTTGCATCGATTGATGAATACCAGAGTATTATTTGCCCTATTGGCTACAGCATCGCACTGCCAGCTCATATTCATACTGTAGTCTATTATTACCCCCAGGTCCCTTTCATTCATGGTGCTAGTCAGTTTAGTGCCGCCAAGCCAGCAGATGTGTTGGGGGTTGCTTGTCCCAAGGTGGAGCACTTTACATTTCTCAACGTTGAACTTCCTCAGATTCCAATCTGCCCAACTTGCTAGCCTATCTAGGTCTGCCTGTATCTGTTGCCTATCTTCAAGCGTGACCACGCTCCCCCATAACTTGGTGTCATCCACGAACTTGGCCAGTGAGCTCGTCACCCCCACATCCAAATCATTAATAAAGATGTTGAAAAGTACTGGACCAATCACCGATCCCTGTGGGACACTGCTGCCCACTTCAAGCCAGGATGACACAGATCCGTTCACAATGACTCTCTGGGTCCTATCCTGCAGCCAATTTCTCACCTACCTGACTGTCTGGGAGTTAAGTCCACAATCCTCCAATTTTCTCACAAGGACATCATGGAATACTAAATCGAAGACCTTTTGGAAGTCTAGGTATACAATATCAACCTGCTCTCTTGTGTCCAGGTGGCAAGTTACCTGGTCATAGAAGATGAGGTTGATAAGGCAAGACCTGCCCATGACAAAGCCATGCTGGCTGTCATTCAGAATCTTACCTTCTGCAAGCTTATCACAAATAGACTCCTTGATGAACTTTTCTAGGCTTTTCCCTAGGATAGAAGTTAGGCTGATTGGCCTATAGTTACCTGGATCCTCCCTCCTGCCCTTCTTGTGGATGGGTATAACATTGGCCCTCTTCCAGTCCTCGGGGACTTCCCCAAAGAGCCATGAGTTGTGGAAAAGTTTAACTGGGGGTTTCTCAATGACTTCAGCCAGCTCCTTCAGCACTCTTGGATGAAATCATCTGGTCCCGCTGACTTGTATACATCCAATTTTATTAATTGGCCATACACCAATTCTATGGCAATAGTAGGAAGGCAATTATTCCTACCATGCTCATCCTGTACTCTACCTGGCGTGGTTTTCCTCTTGGTCTAGTGAAAAACCAAGGGCAAGCAGTCATTCAGGAGTTCAGCTTTCTCCTGGGTAACCGAGTAACTGAGTTGAGTAACTGAGTAACAGTTTTCTCCTGGGTAACCTGGGTAATTGAGTTGCTGAGTAATGGCCCCACACCCCCATTTGTTCTCCTCCTGTTCCCTATGTAGCTAAGGAAGGACTTCTTGTTGTCCTTGATTCCCATTGCTAATCTAAGTTTGGTCACCACTCTAACCTGTCTTATCTGTTCCCTGCAAATTCAGGCCATCATGGAATAGTCCTCCTTGGGGCCCACCTCGAGCTTTCATTGTTTATAAGTCTCTTTCTTAAGAGGACCATGATTTCCCTGTTTAGCCAAGAGGGCTTCCCAGCCCTTCTGTTACCTTTTCTCCCCCATGGAAATGGCCTTCCTTTGTGCTTCAAGGATCATGTCCTTAAGTAACAACCACTCTTCATGCACATCTTTCACCTTCGGTCCCTGGTCCTGCAGCACTTGCCCTACTAGTGACCTAAGCTTGTTGAAATTTGCACTTTTGAAGTCCAAGACTTCAATCCTGCTATCTGATTTGTTTGCCCTATGTCAGAAAGTGAACATGATGGTTTCATGGTCACTGTTGCCCAGACTTCCCTCTATATTTAAGTTGGTCCCCAGATCATCTCCTTTGGCCAGGACCAAGTCCAGCAGAGCATCACCTCTGGTTGGCCCATGCACCTCCTGAGTCAGGAAGACTTCCTCAACACAGATCAGGAAGGATCGCAACCAATCCAACTTGACCGAGTGTTCCTCCCAGGAGTTGTCTGGATAATTAAAATTGCCCCTGATGACCATGTCATGTGCACGTGCAGCCTCAGTCAATTCTTGGGTGAACTCCACATTGAGTTCCTCCCCCTGGTTTGGTGGTCTGTAGTATACACATACAGTTAGGTAACTCTCACTGCACGCCCCCCGCAACTTGACCCACAGGGTTTCAAGCTTTCCATTTTGGGAGCTGATATCAGCCTCCAAGGAGGTGTACTGCTCTTTGACATAGAGAGCAATGACTCCACCTTTCTTCCCCACCCAATCGCTTCTATGCAAGGTGTAGCCCTCTATAGCTACACTCCAGTCATGTGAGGAGTCCCACCAGGTCTCCGTAATCCCTACTAGATCATAATGCACACTGGAGAGTAGGAGGGCTAACTCCTCCTGGTTGTTCCCCATGTTCCTGACATTAATATATAGGCATCCGAGTCCTCCTTCTGAGGCCCCCATCTTCCTGCCCCAATGATGGAGAACTTCCCCCCCCCCTGCCACAAAAGTGGCTCTCCCAGTGTCCCTATATACAGGGCTTACTTGTATGTTGGTCCCAGGACATGTTTGAATTTGTATATCCCTGTCCCCCAACAATCTTAGTTTAAAGCCCTGTCCAGAAGATCAGCCATCCTGGCCACGAACAGGGACTTACCTTTCCTTGTGAGGTGGATGCCATCCCTTCCCAGGAGTCCTCTCCCCTTGAAGTGCATGCTGTGGTCAAGGAATCCAAAGTCTTTTAAGTGACACCAGCATCAGAGTCACTGGTTCACTTCTTCAATGCATCCTTCCCTTCTGGGACCATGGCCTGAAATAGGGAGCACAGAAATAAAGACTACCTGGGCCCCCAACCCCTTGAGCCCAGCCCCCAGAACCCTGTAGTTGCTCATGACCCGGTCTGGATTACTCCTGGCCATGTCATTAGTTCCCACATGGATGAGGAGCATGGGGTAGTAGTCAGAGGGCTGGATGAGCCTGGGGATCCTCTCCATTACATCTCAGATGTGAGCCCCTGGGAGGCAGCAGACCTCATGAGCTAGGGGGTCTGGCCAGCAGATGGGTCCCTCAGTGCCCTGCTGGAGATGATCCCTGACCACCACCACCTTACACCTCCTCTTGGGAGTGGTAGCAAGCAGCTTACCTTCCTCCTCTTCTGGTGTTACCCCAGAGCCCTGTAGTTGCTCATGACCCGGTCTGGATTACTCCTGGCCATGTCATTAGTTCCCACATAGATGAGGAGCATGGGGTAGTAGTCGGAGGGCTAGACAAGCTATCCTCCTCTTCCGACCTCCTCATGTTTTGGGGAGGGGAGCGTACCTGTTGTGCAGGACCAGAGAGGAGCTGCCCGGGCCCTGTGTTTCCTGGAACATGAGGTGACTGTCTTCCAGGTTGCTCTGGGTAAACCCCAACATTTCTTAACTGGATTATAAAGGACAAGGCTTACAGTCCCTGAAGAGAGGACAGATATTTCATTAAACCCATATATCACCTTACCCTAGTCCAAAAGGAACTGCAAAGTAAGTTTAAAATGATGTCACCTCTAATGCACTTTGATTCACGCCTGTTTGCTATCTTTGTACTTCTGTAAATAACTATACAAGGTGCAAGCAGCAGTAGGTATGCTGATTCAGTCACTTGTTCCTTTCTGTTCACAGGTACCTTGCTAGATCCTGAAGGATTATATGATGATGAAGTGTGCACTCCAGATAATCTACAGAAGTATGCACCCCACCCCACCCCTCTCTCTCTCTCTCATCATTTAGTCAATTTCCTGTGGTTCCCAATTCTGGTTTAGTCCAGCGGTTGTCAGTCTTTTTAGACTTAAGCCACCCACTGGAAAATGCTAGCTCTTAACTTGCACTCGTATCTTAACTACAGAAAAATAACAAAGCAATAATTTCAAAGAACTTAGGAAAAACCACAACAGGTTGGCATGTTTTGACATTATGAATTCCTATTTGGAATCTTTGATTTTATCTTGTGAAACTTGTATAGGTGTTTGCACACCTAGTATTGTGCAGCACCCCATGGGACCCTTAAAGGGATCTCAAGGCACCGCATGGTGCAATGGCCTGGTTGAGAATCACCCACGCTCCTCCACAGTCCCCCACACATCTCACCCACCATAACCACACCCTCCCACATACACCCCCCTTACCCTCCCCCACAATATACAAGAGTAAGACTGTATTTTGAGCTATTATGCAATTGTCTCTAGATACACTACACAAATGCACATAAATCATTAAACATATTGTTTAAATAACATTAAAATAAGTTACAGTAGATGTTTGATTTATTTTTTTAGTATATGATTTGTTTTTTTTCCCCCAGTTTCAAGATGACAGCACCCTCCTTCCCAAAAGTACTTCTGGGGCAAATTGAGGGACTTCCAGTGGCCAAGATCAGGGGTTAGGCATGGGACTTCTAGTCTCAAGATCGTGACCAGGGGGAGTGGCACCTGTCAAGGGGTGAGGCTACTCTTGTGGCCCTCTATGGCTCGCCAAAACTTGTTAAGCAGCCTTCCAGCTTAAATATTGCCTGTCCCTACTTTAGCATGCATCTACCACTGGATTGTACTAAGGAGTGCTGAGATGAAGCACAACATGCCCACTCTTCACATGCAAAGTCCCCAGACCAGTGCATGTATTGTAATGTAATTTCTAGTGCATGCCTGAGACACAGACATTACTGATATGTGACCAGGGGTGCTCTATGGTGGCTACATTCCTTCCATTTTTAGGTATTGTGTATGTGGACTGTGTGTACCATGCTGTGCTTCACTACAGAGTTCCTCAGCACAGTCTAGAGGCAGTGCAGCTATGCCCTTTGTTTTTAGCAGTTGATTAGCTATTTATTCAAATATCACTTAATCATTAACACCTTGTAAACTGTTTCTGTGCAACCTTACTATAAAATAGAATCAGAAAATCCCAGAAAATAGGGTGGGAAGGGACTTCAGGAGGTCATTTAATCCAACCCCCTGCTCAAAGGAGGACTGTCCCCAACTATACCATCCCACCCAAGGCTTTGTCTAGCCCGGTCTTAAAAGCTCAAAGGCAACTCTTAAAACCCTCAACTACCTCTCTGGATAACCTGTTCCAGTGCTTTACTATCCTCCTTGTGAGAAAGTTCTTCCTAATATCTAACCTAAATCTTCCTAATATCTAACCTAATCTAATAACATAAAATAACTCAAGAAGTTTTCAGTGTTATTGAAAGATTAAATTCCAGACTTCCTATCTGCCTGGATGGGTTTTCAGGGCTCTCCACTCCCCTAGAGTGCTCAGCAGTTTCTTCAGCCTGGTCCTCAGTCTGAGAGAGAAACACAAAATCCTGAGTTTTGCTGCCAAGGTTTATAACTGCATTTATTTTTAACTTTTAAAATCCACATTCCATTAGTAATATGTTATTTAAGACTTTTATCTTACAAAGGCATTTTAATTAATTTCTCTGAAGCTGATTCAAACCTGATATACTGTTAAGTGGCTAGATAATCTAAAATTGTATCCTAAGCATGAAGAGAGAAGGATACTTCGAGCTGCCCAAATTATATCATTAATTTAAGTGGCAAACAAGATCGAGTTTAAAATAGATCCTTGCAGGAATCCTTCAGTAAAATTTGGCAGAGATATGAAACCATCCAATTTAAAATGCATGTTTGTGTTGGCTTTAATAGTTTTGGAAAGTGCTCAGATTATCAGACTCCATCACCACTAATTTCCTGCAATTTATTAATAAAATTAAACAATTCACAGTTATTATCTGATTTAGATGAATCAATTAATGTAACAGTGTAGAAATGCCCTTTGTTAAAAAGATAAACTGCTTTCATTCTAGGTACAGCAAGCTTAAACTTTAAACTGATCAGGAGTATATGCTTAGTGCAAATCGGGAACTTTGTGGAAATTTGGAATCTACTAACTAATCTGTCCATAAATCTGGAACAGGTTAACAAAGTGAATATAGATCTATTACAGCATAGGCCCAACCTTGGAGCAGTGTAAGTTACACAAACTTAAAATCTGAATGGATATTAGCTGTGAGAGTGAGCTGATAACTCATGATAAAAAACTTACCTTGAATGTGAAATTTGCTGTGGAGCAGGAGGCCATTTGAATCCTGAAGAAAGGCTGCACCAGGGCAGAATATTTGCTGACTGAGCAGAAGTACTGGATCTGTGTATGAGGACCAAATCTCCTTATGCAACATAAAAGGACACCTGAGGAAGAAGCCAAGAGACAGGATTCAGCTCCATGTTTATGTAGATTCCATGACCCCAGTCTCCAGCATTCTGTAGGTAGAAAGGCTTTGGCCTATGATTGAGGCCAGACATTATAATAATAGCAGGTGGGGTATTGGGATGCCTGAAAGAGTAGACCTACATTCGTCTTCTGATTTGTGGGATGACTCACCCAAACTTTGTGTTGAAAGGTTAAATGTCACCAGTTACAGCTCCCTCACCTCCATGAGTACATCTACACATACAATTATTGTGAAGAAATATACTCTGGAGAAGTTGAGCTGGAGTAAGCAGCTCCTGGGCACATCATCTACATGTGCGCAGCATCTACATGCATACAGCAAATTGAGCCAGGCCCGGCTGGCTGGGCTGGCAGGGTGCAATTTATGCCCCCAATTACTATCTACACATGTGTTTCAGCATAATAACGTACTGTGCTGTAGGATAGTACTATCCCTGACACTACTATCCTACGGCGGAGTTAGTTTACCAAGCCCTAATACCAGTGCACATGTAAATGCTGATACTTTACTGTGGAGCTAATTAGTCTACAGTAAAATGCATATGTAGATGTACCCCATGTGTCGTCATGTGCTAGTGTTCAGCACAAAAAAACTGATCACTATTAGAAATGAGCTTGGTTGACTAGCTGGGTTGATTGCTTATACAAAGTTCTCTGATACGTGTAAATTTAAACCTTAATGTGACAGCTTGCAATTAAAACTCCTTTTTCATGAGCACTTGTGTAGGTAACTCACTCAATGAAATGATCACAAAAAGTAAATATAAAAGGGTTGCAAGTATGACTGAAGCATATCCATCTTTTTACTGAAAGATACAACATAGAGAATTTCCAGCCCTGTTCAAATGTTTGCTTTAACAAAATAAACATCGGTTGCTTACTTTCAGGAATGATCCATTTTATCACAACCAGATTGTTTTACAGCCACCTCTGAAAACTATGCTATTTGTGAAATTCTCTTTTAGATTCAAGAAAACAAACAGTTTGATTTACCATATTACAGATTGAGAATGCTTGAATAAATTAACTTAACATAATTTATTAGATTATCGTACAAATTTGAAATGACACAGATGAATGAAAATTTCCCTTTGTGAGCTGTTTATTAGGTCTAGGACTTCAATAATGATCAGAACCTTGATTGTTAAATTAATCAGAAGCCTTTATTTTCCACGGACTTAACAACCTGCCATAGCGTTTTGTTACAGTTTTTATCTTTCAAAGGTTGGTAAAGTGCTGCTTATAAGAATCACGTGTAATAAATTGCACCATTTGCATTTATTCCTAAATTGCCAAAAAATTAATGTTTCCTGTTAGTGTTGTAATACTTGCCTTTTTCCAGTTCAGAACCTTCTACAGTAGGGGATGTTGAGAAATGGTGAAACCAGGGGATGGTTTTCACTCTCAAACATTTCAAACAGGCCTGGTGTCTCTCATCTAACACACACTTGCCCACATACACACAGGACAATTACTGATGATGTAACCCTTTCAAAATCATTTAAAAATGTCAGGTCGTCAAAATGTCTTATTTTTTTCCAAGGTGAACTTAAAGGCTTTGTACCTGCTAGGACCCAAGTTCATGGCTCAGTGTTTCTCCTGCGACAGTTGATGATGTAGCTTAATGATGTAATCAACTTTTACAAGGGAAACCACAAAACCCTGAGCTCAGGTTCTGGCGGGTAAGTAGAGGAAATGATTTTCAGCTATTCAGTTTTGAAAATCATTTGTTGGTACATTTGGGGCCAGATTTTCAGAAGAATAAACACACATTTGCATGCCTAAATTACATGCAATATTACTATTACTGCATTTGCTAATAACCAGTTGTAAGTCTGATGTCCTGCATGTGCAGTTGCTGCAGCAGTATGTGCAAATGCAGTAGTTGCATGTACAAAATGTGCACACACTGTTGCTTGCACAACTGTGCATGACTTTTCTCCACAATTACAGAATACAGCCCATTACATTTACACATTTAAAATTATTAATAATACGTTTATTTTTAACAGAACTCCTTGAGCACAAGTTTATCCCTTAATAGGATATAAGAAACTAAATCAGTGCTACTTCCATGTCTGATGGTTTTTACTTTTGCAGTGTAGTATACTGTCAAGATATATATATAATTCACCAGACTAGTAAAGAGGTGACTTGTAAAAAATTAGGAGAGGAGTGGTGTATTGGCCCTAGTGCAACACTGGGCATTAGAAACTCAAATTCTAATCTTAATTATCACCAGATATGGCAGCAGTTAGCCTGACTACACCTGTTACACCTTGTGCTCTAAGCCAGACAAATGTTGATCGCCTTAGTGCTAGCTTGGAGTTTGGAGCAGTCACACCTTAAGGCTAAAAACATTCTCTGACTGTCCCACTTGCACAGCTGTGACTTGCCACTAGAGGCCTGATGGGCAGGGCTGGTGAGCCAGGACAAGCTCCTATCCCTGCTGTCTGGGCAAGGTTGTGAGAGATGGGTTGGGAGTGGTGGTGGTAGAAACATGCAACTGTTAATGTCACCTGCCTCCCCTGGAGTCTGGTGCAGGCAATATGCTGGTGGCTCCCCATGATGAGGCATTGCCTTCCCTCGTCCTTCTCCTCTCCCCTCCCCGCCATCACTACCGCCACTGCTAAATGCTTCCAGCAGCCATGGCATGGTGCTATGGGAGGAAACCAGCAGGGCAGTGCAGTGCATTTCTCCTGTGTGAGGCAGCAATGGAGCAGTCAGTGCCTCCCTGGGCCAGGTAGCAGAGCCAGTGCCAGAGCCCCCACCCTGCACAGTGCCCTCTGCATACTTGGCACCATCTCACACAACTTTCCTCTTTCTCTTGTGCTGGCCCATGGTCTGGCTGCCCTGTAGCAGCATGCTGGTGCACCAGTTCCAGCTTTCCATGCCTAACTCCCTACCGGCTCCAGCTCACCTCAAGCTGTCACCATCTTCAGCTGTGAACTGAAGCACCATGTGGGGAAAGGGCCACTGCATCCTAGGATACTGGAGGACTTCAGCTTGAGTGCCACAGCTGTGGGTAGTGAACGCCCTTTAATAGAACAGGAGCAAGGTTATGCAGATCAGAGAGAATCCTGCCCTGAAGTCATGTAACTTTGAGCCACATTATGAGTGCTTTAAGCCAGTTAAAAGTATTAAGCCAGTTAAAAGCAGTCTAGGGGTTAAGAGGTCCAGGAGCCATCTAAAATTACCATGTAACAAGGTCCTAAA